GAAAATAATTTGATTTTTGTACCTTTGAATGTATTGAATTCATTTGTAAAAGCTGTTATGATACAATGTTTGATATTTTATATAAGTTTTTAGCATATGCAATCAATAAATGTATCAACATTTTTATTTTATTATACTTTTTACTCTGCAAACTTCTTAAAAACAGAATAGTAATGATCCATTTAACTGATACTAGGTTAGTGTCACATTGTAATGGTATATCATGTATACTGAACTGTAAATAAGAAACATCTAAATAGGTAAAATCACAGCATGAATCATTGGATTATGTAAGAAGTGCACTATCTTGTGCTTTGGTATGGTATTAATAATAAATGTTAAACTATCATTTTTTTTTTCAAATTAACAAAGGATATGCTTGAGTGACTGTATTTTGACTAGCAGTAAAAATAAAATGATTTTTAAGCATTTGAATTATTTTGATTCATGGTCTCTGCAAGTTTAATGATAGCAAATATGTATATTGAACATGGCATCCACATATTGCTATACTGGATGGGGCATAACTTTTACTGAATCTTAATCACAACCTTGAAATTTTATGTAGTACATGTACTCTTGGTTTCAACTGGTCAAATGTATTCTTAAATCAGAAAGAATTTAAACAAATATAGGCATAGGTCAGAACTTCATCAATTAGTTGGAAAGCGAATGCACTCAGTGACTATATGGTTTAAAAGAAGCTTGGTATAAATAGCAGGAAAAACTACTTGATGTCCACTGTGAACTTTGTGTCCTCAACAAAACAATATGGAGTATACTATACTTGGTCTAAAGAATAATCTATGTCTGCATTCACTTTTAGGTTAAACTGTTTTGGGCATTGAGAGTTTGTTTGTTGTTTAACGTCCCTCTGGAGAATTTTTCACTCATATGGAGATGCCAACACTTGCCGATGGAGAGCTGCAAATGAGCTATGCTCGGCACTCAGGGCCAATGGGCAGTGAGGGATCTTTTTCATGCCAGCATCTACTGCGACACTGGACCTCTGTTTGTACAAAGGACCTGTCTCTACGTCCCACAGTGGGATTCAAACATGTGAGAAAAGGATCAACTAACTCCACGACTCTAGAGCATTGGCTCTTTCCACTGCACCACGTGGGCGACAGCATTAAGAGTTAAATGTGGACATCGGAACAAGCTACTCTGGGCTTATACTCTCTATATATTGATTGATTGTATGTTGTTTAACATTCCTCTCAAGATTTTTACACTCAAATGGAGACACCACCACATGCCGGTGGAGATCTGCAAATTTTGTCCTATATCGGCACTTACGGCCATTGAGCATCGAGGGATTTTTTTCGTGCCAGCACCTACTGCGACACAGGACCTCGATTTATACGGTCTCATCTGAAGGACCGGTCTCCCCATCCCACAGTGGGATTTGAACCTGCGACGTAAGGATCAACTCCTTACTTCGCTACTCTAGAGCAGATGCTCTAACCACTGCGCCACTGGGGCAACTACTCTCTATTTAAGTCACTTGTGCAATGACTTTAGTTTAATTCAAAGTTTTGTACTGATCATGTTGAGTCACATTAGCACAAATATCTTTCTGCTGACCTTGACTAATGACCATCCGCAACTATTCTGGTTGGAAACAATATGTTAATTAATGCATAATAAGTGAAATTACTATGAAAGAAAAATGGTCTACTTAAACCACAAGTTATATTTATAAAAAATATACACTGGTCTCCTTAAGTCATATGAGAGAAACATAAAATATTAAGGAGACCATTTTTTTCATATATTTTTAGGAGGCATTTATTATGAAAAAATAAAGCAAGAGTCGACTAAATGGTGTTCTATAGATCTTTGATCTGGTATTTCTTTTAAGAAAAAAGCAAATTTAAAAAATTTGTATATTGTCTCCTTAATCCATATATAATGGTCTGGTCTCCCTAGTCCTTAAATCAGAGTTATATATATATATATATATATATATATATATATATATATATATATATATATATATATATATATTGCTATGATATGGATTGTGGGTCCCTACCCACAAGTATGCTGCACTTTACCCCTTAGGAAACACCTATAGTTCTCACAGGTGCTTTGATGAAAATTTACCTCAAAGAAAAAACCTGTATACTAGTCTGATAAAATGATATGTGTTTTTTTGAGCTCCAATACAAATGATATTCAATTGTATGCTATATATAACTGTTTTTGCATCCATACATGGTTTGTGGGATATCTCCCACAAAGAATATATATATATATATATATATATATATATATATATATATATATATATATATATATATATATATATATATATATATATATATATATATATATATATATATATATATATATATATATATATATATATATATATATATATATATATATATATATTGCTATGATATGGATTGTGGGTCCCTACCCACAAGTATGCTGCACTTTACCCCTTAGGAAACACCTATAGTTCTCACAGGTGCTTTGATGAAAATTTACCTCAAAGAAAAAACCTATATACTAGTCTGATAAAATGATATGTGTTTTTTTGAGCTCCAATACAAATCATATTCAATTGTATGCTATATATAACTGTTTTTGCATCCATACATGGTTTGTGGGATATCTCCCACAAAGAATATATATATATATATATATATATATATATATATATATATATATATATATATATATATATACGTACTTGACGTGGTTTGTGGGTCATGTCACATAAACATGGTTTATGGGACCCTGCATTTGTAATAGGCTTATTTCAAAAGGAAACACATTTTTAAGAATAGTTTTTGATGTAGATCCCAAATATAGAAAAATTATAAAGTTTTCTCATATTTGGTTTCAAAGCTATAGATAACGTTGTGGGTCATTACATTGTGGGTATATGTCCCACAGCGATCTATAGTAGATAATTATATATAACATACTTGTGGGTAGGAACCCACAAACCATATCATAGCAATATATATATATATTCTTTGTGGGAGATATCCCACAAACCATGTGTGGATGCAAAACCAATTATATATAGCATACAATTTTTAATTCAATGCTTATTGATATAATTATGTAATATTTAAGCAAGATGCAGCTATCAATGTATGCAATAGTCAAGGCATATCTTATGAACTATGATTTTTGCAAGTTTTATTTGAATACTTTTGTGTAAAGTGGGATCAGACCTAAACACTGTCCTTAACCAAACGTTAATACCAGTATGCTTTGGGGAGGGGGAGAGGGGGGTAATAGATACAACAATATGTAACATACATGTATAAAATAAACAGCAATTGCATAGTGGGTAAGAATATATACGTGTGGCGTGTCCATTTTTTTCCTGGGATTTTTCCACAATTTTAGTAACCATCAGTACATGTAAATTGACCAGTCAAGCTATGTGTAACAGAAGAATAATAACTAAAGTATTCAAGGAAATTAATTGAATTTCATAGTTTTTCCTTTCAAATACCGGTGAATAAAATCTATAAAAAAAAAAAAAAAAAAAAAAAAAAAAAAAAGAAACAGTTGAATTCAGAAGAAGAAAAATACAATTTCAAAAGTTGATGACCTCGATACAATCAATACAATTTCTCAAACTGTCCAATTGACTCGTGTCAGGTGCAGGACAAAGCCTCAAATCGTGTCAACAATAAAATTCTCAAGTTTCTATTACACAGAAATGTCCCAGACACAGTTCATCACACCCCACCCTCACTGTATGGAAAGTGCTAATCGACAATCATCTACTAGATTTGGATCACTAGCTATATGTTGATGGATCATTCGAAATTTCTTTCTGCACTATTAGAGAGAATGCCACTTATATACGTTTTTGTTTTACTAATAATAAAAAAACTGCTTCAACTAATATGAAACTTATTGGTATATTTAAAGATTACCATATTTTTGTGTCATCTACCCCTCCTTAAACATCGGTAGCACGCGGTTTTCACGCGTAAATTTAATGATTAAAACGCATTCAACTTCAAATCTTAATGTCGCTTCATTCATTTACAAATTTCAATTCAGCCCTATAAGCGTTAAGAATAGATTGCATGGAATATTAAAAAGTTTTTCATGTAATAGAAAGAAAACAAACCACATTTCTCGAAGAAATGCATGGATTCTTTTTCATAGAAGTCATAGCATATCGCTGAAAATCAATTAACTTTTTGAATTCGTCCTCTTATCGTAGAATGACTGCTAAGAGTTTGTGCTTTTTTTCGGGGGGGGGGGGGTCCAAAGTTACTTTTATATGGTTACTTTAATATTCTTAATAATTTTAATGACTTTAAAAAAAAACTTTCTTTAAAAAGCGTAATTTATAGAAATTAGATGATGTTTCGTGGGTAAATTGGGGAGAAAACTTAGATACAATCACTTTTACAACAGAATATAGTATGAAAAAATTTGAAATAATTCAAAATAAGCAAAAATCCCATACTAACTTAGTAAATGAGGACGGTATCGGATTCCCAACAGGTTTCCATTTAAATGTTTACTCAAATAAATCTACACTGATTCTATAAAGGTTTAAGAGGTTTCCTAATTACTTAAAATTACTTGCATCAGAGTACACAAAGCAATATAGCAAGTGATCCAAATCAAGTAGATTTTCGATTAGCACACTCCATACAGTGACCCTGAACTCATCAAATGACATAGCATTAGGTTTTAAGTAACCTGTGTGTTTACTTAGGTCTTTTCTAGTACAGCTGAGGCCCAAACCAAATTCTCCTTGTGACCTCTAAATAATACCTGATAAAGGCCAAAACACAAAATATTTTTATCCTGGTGACATTGTCCAAGTAATACCATGTCAAGGTCATGATAAACCCCTGGTCATGTCCATCTCTGTGTCAAATATAAGCAGCAGCCAATGTTCTCCCCCAAAGTTATGCTCATGGCATGGCAATCCCTCATCAACACTTGTCATGTAGACACACAGATAAACAGACAGACAAGGCAAACCCTATATTCTATGCCACCTTTATTTGCAGAGGTAATATAACACTAAAAAGGTAACACTTTTATCAGTTCAAGATTAAATTTTATTTCTCAAAGTTAAGAAAATGTTTCATGCATTATTTCATACACAAGACAATTAAATGTGAACGTTCTTGATATTGATAAAACATTACATCTTAGGGATTATTGTTTTCCATTTTTTGTAAATAATAAAACAACACATAAGAAAAGATTTGCTGAAAATAAGTGTCATTGAAGAAAGGATATTTAATTTGCATTCTTTCTTTTTCATTTAATTATAAAGTCTAATTTGATTCATGGTCTATAAATATGCAAGTCTCTGATAAGACTGTAGCTCGACTGGTTTAAGCCTGTAATTGATTCAATTAAAATCCTAACAAAACTGTAGAAGGAGTAACATTTTGAAAGAATTTTACAGATAATTCTACTAATAACCATGACAACACCATTCAATGAAATGAAAAACTGATAAAACAGAATTGTGGGTTTTTATGCAATCTACTAGTGAAATTATTAAATTCAAATCGAACAAAACTGTAGAACTAGTATTGGAAACAATTTCACAGATTATTATAATTTTTGTAACCATGGCAATTTCATTCATTGAAATCAAGAACCATAGTCAGAATTATGTATCTTGATGCAGACTACATATGTACTGAGTTTTATTTAAATGAGACAAAAACTGTAGGAGAAGTAGCATTTTAAAAATTGTTCACACAGAGAGAAACAGACAGACAGACTACACAGACAGGGAAAAGACAAAGGACACAAAGGACACCTTGCCATCACATAAGCTCTTCTGGTCTATGACCAGTAGAGCTAAAAACCAGAGGTGCCACAGTCCCATTGTACTTGCATGCAGCAAGTGTTTGATTTTAACCCCCAATGGGGAGATATAATACACTGTAACATTTTTCATAACCTACCCATTAGATATGTAACATAACTGTCTTTTTAAACTATAAGTATTTCTAACGTGCATTTGTAATATACTTTTAAAATATAGGCAATATATGCCATACTCATAACATCTTTACACTAATGCACTTCAAACCACACCCCAGGGACAATTGATGCAGATAATTATCATGGGGTATATACTCTCATAATATTTCAATCATGTTCACTTAACTTTTAACAAAAAAAGTTACACATAAGACATTATAATATCATAATGCTGACAATATCATTATAAAATGAATAAAAAAACAACCATAAGGTCACACCTCAGGGACAAATGATGCAGACAGGAAGCAGAGAGTGCATACAGGTATCTACATCTTTGTTAACTCAGGTGATCAAAAAATTAGTCCAAGGAATTTATTTAATTTTTCAGGAGTAACTGTTCCAGTTTATAAAGTTTATCACAGAATCATGTTTGACTGCATGACAAAAATCCTAACTTTGTTAACTCATTTACGTCTCAGCATATGTTGCACTTTACTCTTTATCTGATGAATATTTCTATCAGCAAGAAATTTGTATTTGTTTTTTACTTTCAGTGCTTCTGCATTTCTTGGTATGTTTTTATCTTTAAAGTTCTTATTAAATTCAAATCTAAGGACATTCTCCTCATCCACAGTCCATTTTTTTCTCTTTGATGGTAAAGTGGTGCATGATGGTTCTTCCGACGATTCATTATCAGATGGGACATAATCCTCGTCTTCCTCATAAGAATCTGTAAATCAATTATAAATGGAGTTCAGTGAATAAAATAATACACTTGCAAGTTAAAACAGGTATATGAGGAGAATTGTTTATATCCTCTATCAAGAGTTTTATTGAAAAGCATGTGAAATGGGATAAATTGAAAGTACTAATTGCCTTGAAACTTCCCTCACATAAAATTTATCCCCTTGGATAAATTATTTCTCAACATAATCAGAAACACACTCATTCATACCTTGATCTATTTCTGCATTGAAAGCAACTTTTCTCTTCCTGTTTACATGTTGGTTTCTTAAAAAAAAAGAAAAAGATTTTCAGAGAAGATATTCTTTTTATATATAAATACATATCTGCACTATACAAATCTTTCTTTCACTGATGAAGATTTCAATATCGATATATCAAATAAGAAAAAGCATCACTTCTTTTGAATATTTCAAAAGACATGGAGCACATCTGCCAATGTATATTTAATTAAAAACAAGATGTGTTTGTGAAACACCGATGCCCCCGTATGGCAGCTTATGGCGAAGGTTAAAGTTTCTCAAACGCAAGTCAAAATCCAGGCCAAAAGATAAAAAATGTTAAATTTGAAAGCCCTAGCTGCAACTGTTCAAAAGTTATGGTGAAGGTTAAAGTTTTTTAAAAGTAAGTAAAACATCAAGTCAAGGTCAAAGTTGGTGGTATCCAAAGGAAGGTCTTGTCACAAGGATTATATATGTGAAGTATGAAAGCCCTAGCACCAATCATTCAATAATTATGCCCAAGGTTAAAGTTTTTCAAAAGTAGGTCAAACTCCTATGTCAAGGTCAAAGGGTCAAAGTGGTTGGTATCCAAAGGAAGGTCTTGTCACAAGGATTACATATGTGAAGTATGAAAGCCCTAGTGTCAACCATTCAAAAGTTATGGTCAAGGTTAAAGTTTTTGAGTAAGTCAAACTCCTAGGTCAAGGTCAAAAGGTCAAAGTGGTTGGTATCCAAAGGAAGGTCTTGTTACAAGGATTACATATGTGAAGTATGAAAGCCCTAGCTCTAACATTTCAAAAGTTATGGTCAAGGTCAAAGTTTTTCAAAAGTAGGTCAAACTCCTAGGTCAAGGTCAAAGAGGTTGATATCCAGAGGAAGGTCTTTTCACAAGGAATACACATGTTCAGAAGTTATGGCCAAGGTTAAAGTTTTTCAAAAGCGGGTCAAACTCCAAGGTCAAGGTCAAAAGGTCAAATATGATGGTACCCAAAGAAAGGTCTTCTCACAAGGAATACACAAGTGAAATATGAAAGTCATAGCTCCAACCAATCAAAAGTTATGGGCAAGGTTAAAGTTGACAACAGACAGGCAGACAAACAGATAAACAGACAAACAGACAGACAGGACAAAAACAATATACCCCCGGGATCTTTCGATCCGGGGGCATAAAAATAATTAAATGGACCTTGTTTGAAAAAAAATTAGCATTTAATGCAAATTTGTTCAAAAAGAAAACAAAATTAATAGTCGTTTTTATCCCCCATAATCAAAGATTCTGGGGCATATATTTTTAGCCTGTCCATCTGTCTGTTTGTCTGCAAAAACTTTGGCCATAACTTTTAAATGGTTGGAGCTATGGTTTTCATATTTTACATGTGTATTCCTTGTGGCAATACCTTTCATTGGTTATCAACATATTTGACCTATTGACCTTGATGTTTGCACATTACAAAATCATTAACCTTGGCTATTACTTTTGAACATTTGGTATTAGGGTTTTCATATTCTACATGTGTATTCCTTTGTGATAAGTCCTTTTCTAGAGTACAAATATTTTTTACCTCTTGACCTTGGAGTTTGACCCACTTGACAAAAATTTTAACCTTGGCCATAACTTTTGAACATTTGGTGCTAGTTCATATCTAACAGGTGTATTCCTTGTATCAAATCCTTCCCTTGGATACCAACAATTTATACACTTTGACCTTGGAGTTTGACTTACTTTCAAAAAGCTTTACCCTTGGCAATAATTTTTGAACAATTGGTGCTAGGGATTTCATATTTCTTTGTGACAAGATCTTCCCTTGGGTACCAACAATTTTGATTTGTGTACCTTAACCTTGGGAGTTCAACTTGCATTTGTGGAACCTTTGCCACTAGCTGCCATATGTCAGTGTTTCACAAACACACCTTGTTTTTTTTTAAACCCTGTTGTAGAAATTACATCAATACAGCATAGTTGGGGAATGCATAAGTTGCCTTAACAGACTGACATTTACATTTGCTATCCAGGATAGAGCAACTGTGAGAGTAACTTAATCCTCTGCAAATATGACAATATTCTTTAAACCAGATGCTGATTTTACACAATTTTATTTAAAATATATACTATCAATTCTCAGAAAATCTGTCGATATTGTATCAAAATATTTTAAATCGATGATACATTGATATTAATCCATCAATGACAGTTCTACTGATGAGCAAATGACAAAAGGTTACTGCTCATACTATGAGGGGTGTCCCAATAAATCGTGTACTTTTGAGACATATTTATTTTTCTTACATTATACTGAAATACTTTTAGATAAGCATGTATATCTAAATCTTTACACTACAAGAGAAAGTCAAATTTTATTGTTGCACATAAAATTTACTGATTTGAGTATAATTTAAACCTGAGTACAAGGGTATGGCACAAGTCCCTGACACATTAAAGCAGATTGGTAATGTGTTACCTATCCTCTTAGCCAGTTTTCCAAATATTACATAGACTAAAAAAGTGATATTTTTAAGTCTCTGTGTCAAATTTTAGACATGTAGCATAATTTAAATTGGAATGTTTTGTATTTTAGGTTCAAAGGTACAAACCCCCATTTCAAACTAGGTACATGTAAATGTACTTCCAAATTGATGACTTGTGAAAGAAAGAAGTCAAAAAAGATATTGCAAGAATATAAAATAAGCTACTTACTGGTATGAAAGTCCAGCATCCTGGTCTTCTACTTTATGTGCACCAGTGCTTATTTTCTGTGTCTTGGGAATGGGGATAGGCCCTTTAATATTGACAAATAAAGCAAAAAAATTAATGAAAGTAAATGACTGAATGATAAAACTGTTATGTCAAATTTTCTGATAATTGTTAACTAAACTATACAAATATTTAAATTCTATTGTGTCCGCTTTGATGTTCAGAAATAGGCAACCTTGGGATGGCTGTTGCTGCTCCATGCACCTGCAATTACTCTGTATTTCAATCTGTATTGTGTCACAGTGTCAGTGACAAGTATAATAAATATATTTTCAAACTTACCACAAAGCTCAGCATCAAGAATGTCTTCTTCATTTACCCCAGAATCAATCAATTCCCCATCTTCCCCATCTTCCAAAGGTAGTACTAATTCTGAAAAAAAAAATCGACATCATATTAAGGTGTCCCAATACAATATATAGTCATTCCTAATACAACAGAAATTCAAACATGTGGATTTAAGTCATGAAAACTATGTGTAGTTTTAAAAAAGATTTAACAATACTGCAGATATTTAATCTTCATTTATAAATGATATGAATATTCTGGCATCTTTCATACCACACTAACCATGACACACTGACCATGAATGGTTCAAGGTAATTATTAATGACACTGTCTATGCAAGAACTACTTTTGTGTGAAGTATGAAGTTAAGTGTTGCAAAGCAAACATAAATTTCAGGCCTGGAAACAATCTTCCTATGGAAGGATGGACAGACAATTGAATGGACAGATGAACAAGAGGAATCCTGTACACCCCACCTATTAGGGCAAGGGTGTAATAAATAATGAATCTTGATGCCTGCCTAACCATACTTTATCAATATAAGAGCTTAGAACAATTGTTTGCAACAGTTCCATTTTAATTACAGATGCCACAAACTTTCATATATTGATATAACTTAAGTTTCTAATTTATAGGAAACTGACACTAACCTGTTACATCTATGTCAGACAATTTCTTTCCTGCAAATTTTCGTAGTTGCCCCTCATCTGCAGCCATCATGAGACTTCCTACTTTTGCTATCTCGACTGTGGCGTCATGCTGCCTGTAATGTTGCTTGTGAGTATTAATGTTATGTGCCAAATGTCTTGAAACCCATTCAAGCTCGTGGTCTTCCAGATCCAGTATCTGGCACACTGTTGCTAGGTACTTTCTAAGTCTACTAGATGAAATCAGATATGGTTGCTCACAACCAGCCTCTTTTGCCAGCCTGTTCATGGATGTCCAGGGGTCTATATGGTTACTTGCACTTGTTGGGCTGGCAAACACGAAGGGGTTCGATGAGGAGATTCCGCACCCCTCTCTGTGTTTCATGAGACAATCTAATGCAATAATCATGGTTTCAGTGAGCAGAACTGGGCATCTTTTGTTTTGTTTTCCTTGTGTTTCCACCATATGTAGTCTGAAACAAACCAAGTTAATGAACTACACTGCTCACTTTATTCACCTTGTTCTTAAATGTACATTCTAAATGATCAACTTGCCCCTCCCTAGAGGCCTGGACCCCTTACACAGGGGAAACAAATTTTTATATAGAAATTGGGTGCCTAATGCATTTTTTAGCAAGAATAAAGAAAGTGTAAAATTTATCCAAAATTTAATAATTTTTTTTTATTCAGATCAGATCATGATACAGTATATAACTGTTATACAGGTAAAAGGGGAAAAGATTCCAAATTTTTTGCTTTATTTAGTTAAAAGTTTTATGTTCTGTAGGCAAACTAGACATTTGTTTAAAAAGTAACATTTTTAAAACAATATAATATGGTCTTTTTGTTCTTTCCTCAAATATTAAAAGCGTAAAAGATTTAGTTAAACTAATTAAAAATTGGAGACAGGAGACAGAGGCCAGGAAATCTGAAATTTTCTGAAAAAAATCATCCTCTAGTTAAAATACAATGCTTCATCAAAATATCTTTCATGAGCCACATAAGTTAAGGCCAAGAATAAACAAGAGGCCCATAGGCCACATCACTCACCTGAGCACATTAGCTAGACAAAAGCGGGGGTCATGATTTGAACAAAAATTGATGTTGACACATTACTTCTCATGATATTGGCTTTGAATTAAAGGTACCCCCATGAAATTTCTCTTCCAAAGAAAGATATTGCCACATTTTACTATAATACAGTTTAAGTTTGAGTGTATATCTGTATTTACAAAGTATTTAAAACAATAATAATATACACCCAATACCTATTGTCCCTAAAATTTATCTTGTTTTACGTAATAAAAAAAAACACTTGTCAGTAAATTAGAGACAATGAATCAGAATGTGATTGACCCATTCTCACAAACTGGATGATCTGTTTAAAGAAGTAAGTGTGCTGCAAGTGAATCTACTATTTTCATATACTAGTATTCTAAAGATAATTTTGCATTGTGATTGTGTTGGGTTTGCAGGGGGGGGGGGGGGGGAGGGGAATGCTTCTAATGTGATAATTATTATTCAAGATGAATATTGCAATGTTTGAAATAATAAAATTTGTCACTATCAAATCGTAGCAACTCCTATTCTTGCGAACTATCAGTGTTAGCTTCAACTTGTCCACTGACAATAGTCTGTCTGTCGCATCGATTTGATACATGTAGCATACTCGTGGTCCATGTTTTCTGCATATTCTAATCAACAGAAATGTCGTTTATATTATATCTTTATTACCTTATCGTCTTTCTGTCAACCAAAATTTATTTCCAGCCTTCTCTTTTTAATTAATTTCTCGTTAAACTGTACAAGCAATGTTCGTAAGTTTGTTGATGCAACTGGCTTATAGCAAAATCGTTACTGGATATTTAAAATGCAGGGTTGGCCAGGAAATACCAGTGGTGGGAATTACCGGTGGTAAATACCGGTATTTCCCGTCCCGGTAAATACTACAAATTTTCTCTAAACTGGGAAATACTGGGAAATACAAAATTTAAGATTTTTATTTCTTTAATTCATTTAATCTCAGGCAAAATTCAGATATAAAATGAACATAAAAACAGAAGATGAATAAAATTAAATATGTCTCAAACTGCAATTTAACCTACTTAGTACAAATCACTACTCCAGGTCCACTACACATATAAAGCATTCTGTAGCAGAACATGTCTCCCTGATTGTATTTTAAGAACAAAACTGAAGTTTTCTAATTCAAGTTTCATTTCAGTAATTAAGTAAAATTATAAAGTTTATTTATTAATTATAGATCCAAGAATACAATAAACTTGTCTTAATCCTTCTATAAACACTGTATTTTTAAAATCAATCATGTTGTTTTAACAAATTGATTCTGGACAGTTCTGTGATCCTGTAAAAAGTGTTTTGAGAGATAATTACACCTTGAGTAGATCTGAAAAGCTTCTTCTTAGGTTTGATATTTACACTATATTCTACACTTAACAATTTTCTTAGGTCCTTCTTGTTACACAAAAAATCCAAATGGGATCAAGCATGAGACAAATGACACTTGTGACTGGGATATGAGTATACTGTGATATGATTAATTAAAATAAAGTACTAGGAAACCAGAAATTCTTATATCAGGGACAGTGATACCTGCAGGTAGATATCTTAATTAGTTAATAAGGTGTACTGTACATATTGAATGGCAATATAACTTATGTTAGTCACACCTAAGGTCTGTAATATAAAGCAGATGTATAGTTCCAAACAAATATGATTAAAGTTATAAAACATGAAGGTATCTCTTATTTCCCGGGAAATACCAGTAATTCCTGGGAATTACCAGTATTTCCCACTGTCCTGGTAAATATGAGTATTTCCCACTTTTATGCCAACCCTGTTAAAACGCCAAGTAAAAGTCAAACCAATATAGTTAAAAAATCACATCTTGGAAATAAGAAGTGTAGATCTGTTCATTAGTGACGTAGTGTGAGTATTGGTCTACTTTAATACATGTATAATAACATTTAAGGAGGCTGGGGGTCAACAAATTAACCATAAATTAACCACCAGATTTAACTTAATTTTTTAGATATGATATCTTAAACTGTCAACTATCATTTGGCAAAGAAAAATTTCAAAAATTTTAGTTTTAAAATTTGATCATTTTCTATATCTTCATATGGAGCTCTTCTTCGAAAGGAGATCAATATAGTCTAAAAATGGCCACAACCCCCCAGCCTCTTTAAAGTGCATCTATCCAGGCTTAAAATAATATGTTTGATGTCAATTTTATACACTGAATTCCTTTCCATTTCTTATTCATAAATTTCTGCTCGTACAGTTGAGTTTGTACTTGCATATAAGCTAGACTTATCATATTTGGCAGATAGGTGAAATATAATATAAGATAATGTGTCACATACCATACAGACCCACATATGACTTTGCCCTTAAGGTCAAATTACAATATTTTTGTATGTCTTTTTACCCCACAAGGAACCCATGGGAAGCCCAAGTGAACATGATATGGTTATAATTTACATGCTTAACTACATTAAATGAGCATCTATCCATGTTTAAAATGGCATTTGATGAAAATTTATTGTTTTGAATTCCATTTTCTGTTCATTGAGTGACTGAGAACTAATCTACCCACTTAATTTATATGCAAATTGACTAAAAGAAACTGATTAATATGATTTGATTATTTTTAATTATTTTACAAACTATCAGTTCTCAAAAATTTACGTTTAAATACTTAATTAAAATAAAATAATAATGCTGAGTAACGTATTTTACCTATCTTAAACCTGACTGAATAACGATCCCAACCCAAAAATGAACTGAACCGAACGTGGATGGAGATTTTGCATCGTGTATCAAACCAAGTAAAAATACCATGAATACCACGGTTAATCGATACTGCGGTGAACCGTTTCACTCCTGGGCATTTGGTCAACAGCAAATCAATCATAGAAACATTATTTATGAGCATAATGAGATGGAAAGACTATGGCCTAACTAGCATAGGGGTGAATCAAATTGCCACTCTGCCACACCCTCGGTCATCTTAATAGGCATTAGCAAATCGTAATGCAATGTACAAAACTAGATTTACAAATCACTAATTGACACATTGCAAGTCTTAAAATTACAAGTGCCGCATTAACAATTCTTGCATTAGATTTTACATTTTAAATAGTTGCAATAAGATTCTGACATTTCCTCACCATTATTTTGAGAGTCTGAATGACCAAGAACAAGAGCATTCCATTTTAGATTTTTTTATTGCAAAAGTGTAATGTCAATACTCATTTTGGTGGAATTTTAGAGGCAAAGACGTAATCCTTTATGTTTTCCTAGTTTTAGTTTTGCAATGATACTCTATTCTCCAAATAAACCTGTAATTGTACAGATCTCTGAACAAAGCAAGGTTGAAGGTTTCTTTTTAAAATAATTTATTGACTCTAAGTCTAGGTGTTGAAGCACTGGTATCCTAAATGCAGTCAAATCAAACTAATTTCAATTTACATGCTTAAAGAAGCATTAGGTTAATTTCTAGCAAATCACATATTACAGAGTTTCATTTCTATGTTAATACAAATTGTACATTATTGCTGTATGTCGATTTCTCTATGTTGCTATAAGCAATGTGAGAATAAACTGAATTGAAAATTGAACAGACTTTATTTACTGCACATATCACCATGATCACTCAATAGCTTTCTAATCAATGGCCTGTTACTCTTTTAAAAGCCATAATACAGAGTTTGAAATTAACAGTCGCCCACTCGCAATTTGCGACTAATGTTCCATGTGGGCGACTTAAAATTACGTTCAAGTTGCCCACATAGCATAAGAAAATTTACGATGATAAATATTTGTTTTTCAATTTTGTCTGAATGTTTTGTATTTTTCTCTTGAAAAATTTCGTAATCAGTAAAGTGCTTTATAATTATCCGTAAGAAGTAATTATACATAAAGCGTTTAAGTGATTGTGTTGGGCACAATGTGGCATCGACAGGTTATTGAGCCCAAGAAACCAAAAAGTACTGTTGTTTTTTGTGAATGAAAACGTGCCATGTGCTCTATTTATGATATTGAATGATCATATCAATCTTCATAATCAGAAGAGTTCCACTTCAAATTTAGATAAGTTGTGCGTAATGTTACAACGGATAGAAAAGAAACACGAATCACATGATAAAAAAAAAAATGGAAAATGGGGTTTTTGTTTTTATATTCAGTAGAAGGTGTTATAATCTGTGGGCGAATAAATTTTGATGTGGGCCCCAGAATGCAAGGTTCAGTAGCCCACATGGCTATCAAGGATTACAGGTTAGTTTAAAACCCTGATAATACATGTATTACTATTAGTTTCTTACGTATGTTGTTTGTATCATTAATTATTACATCGTGAAGAACCGAAACCCTCTAAGAACCACTATTATTCAACTTCTTGTATTCATAGAAGGACGCCTTACTTTAACTCCCAAGTTAATCGTTCATTAATTTAGGCAAAATATTTCAAAGCATAAAATTGATTTTCTTTGTGTAACAGCATAATTTTATGGTAAAAATCAGAAGAATTACAACAAAAGCGGAATGGTAGGCAGCTTTACGTGTTTATTTTGCGAAAAGAGCAACTGAAACTGGGAGAAAAAAGCAGTAATTTTTGACAGGGGAAAGGGGTAAGGGCTGACATTCAGACCTAAATTGGGTTTAGAAAAATCACTGCATGGTGCATATGAAGTGGGAACCCTAGTTAGCAGTAATCTGTGGATTTTATTTATCCTGTTCCCAAGATAAAATATTACAAATTTCAAGGGAAGAAGGAGACTTCCATAACATAGGATACTTTGTGCCAAATTTGGCTGAAAGTACTCAGCATTTCTTGAGTCAAAGATGAAGATGCAAAATTTTTAGGTCATATATACATTTAAATATATATAATATATATAAACTGATACAGAGAGCAAGACAGATGCAGAAAACAGTAGTTGGACAGAAAAGCACAACTTAGCCCGTGGCATTTAAATGACTCAATAATTGAGCTAAAAACACCTAAATTCTTTTGTAAAATAATGCCCATTTTTTTTTTTAGAAAAGAAACAATAATAGGCTATACCCTCAGAATACACGAGTCAAAAAAAATTCACACCTCTTCAGTAAGATCTTCTCCATTGGCTTCAGACCACTTGCTATTTCTTCATTCATGGTTTCTTCCCAGTTTTGACGGTTTTCATAACTAGCACACAGAAGTTTAGAAACTTCACTACTTCGCCGTTTGTTAAAAAGGATAATTCTAGTCATAGCTGCTCCAGCTAACTTTTTCCAGAGGGTAGCATTTTCTCCTTCCTTTTCCAAATCTTTTGTCAATTCACTTATTTGTTCATCCAGGTGGTTTTTTAATAATACAAGGTCACTGGTTACAGGGAGTGCCAAAGGCTTATTAAATTTATTTGTCTGCAGAGTAGCTAAAGCTACAGATGATACTGCAGGTGCCCAGTCTGAGCTATGAATTTCCAAATATCCATCACATTCTTTCTTCATTGTTTCATCCATTTTTCTTATGGCATTGCCTCTTCTGATTTCTGCAACCTTCACTAAATTATGTCCAAGATTTAACGCCAGAGATGGAGTAGAAAATACAGATATTTTCTGCTCATTCTGATGGTAACCAGCCAAGTCTTGGACTGCTTTAACAACTGTATCAAAGTGCTTTGGAGTGATATAACAATGTAGATCATTCTCTTTATTCAACAACTCATTTATTTTGGTTTTTAATCGGGCCAGTTGTCTCATTCTTTGTGAAACATAGTTTGTTCTTCTGGGTCCCAACTGCTTTATTAGCACTTGTCCAAACTGTATGATTAATGGGTCATCAACAAGAGCACTGTACACCTCGTCTTGGCGCATTTTTAACAAAACAGTTTCTTTCAGTTCTTCTGATACACAGACTCTGAAATCTTCCTTTTCTGCACAGAAGTCTATACCCCCTGCAAGTAAAAGCCTGGATCTTGCGATGATGCCTCGTTGGTCTTTTAATTTGGTGTTCTTAAAAGAGCATTTTCCTGTATGCCTCCACAGTTCCTTTTTAGAGAAAAATCCATAACAATGAATGCATGGTAAGTAATCCAATGATGTCAGGGTTTCTTTGCTTGGTCTTCTGCACACTATTAAATCTCCACTTCCTTCCTTGAGCACTTCTATGTTGTATTTAAAATTTCCTAGATTTTTAAGTTTATCAAACAACCTGTCTCTTTCACGCTTTGAATTTTTGGCACAGGCCTGAGCAACCATAAGTTCATGTTTGTGCCCATTTTCTAGATGCTTCTGAATCCTGTGGTTGAACACTTTACCACAAAAATAACAGCATAGCTTTTTGTTATATGGTCTCCTCCCATTGATTTTCCGAATTCTTTTGACTTTGACTGCAAGAAGAAAAGATAAAAATTCAAATGACCTTCTGATTTTTATTATTTGCATAATTTACTTTTGCAATTGTCCACATTTAATAAAAACACCAAGTAGTGAAATTACTTTTGCAAGGATTTAATTTTTGGCACTTTTTGTGAAGGTATAAGATTCATCATCAATGTTTTATATCACTGTAAATAAACCTATTTCCTGAACCTCTTTGATTTTTGCATATAACTTTGATGGTCACATTTGCATAAATTGGGAAAATAACTGGGAAGAAAGGCACTTTTTCTAATCAAGAATGGGTCCAAATTTTGGACTTAAATACTTCATATCACTATTACTTAACTTAGTGGAACTTTTGTGCACTGAAGGTAGGAACTGTCCTTTAGATGGGGACAGTATGCTGTTGCATACACAGCAAGATTTAGTGACTGTAGATATTCAAGGATACAAGAAAAAAGTCCTGGTGAAATATCTTGCTTAACATTCAGTGAACCATGCTATTAAAATTCAAGAGGAGCTAGTCCTCTGTATTACATTTTAGTTGACACTTTTCTCTAAGCCAAATCAAATTCAATCAAATTCTATCATTTCTTTGAGATAATCATCACTTTTGCAGCTGTTTTGGAAGTCGATAAAATACTAAACATTCAAAATTAGACTACCTACTATCTGAAGTGCACCCTGGGCAAATACATTGTTCTTTCAGCATACTTATTGTTCGAATCTGTTTATCGTCAATAGCCTAAACAATTTTATGCCTCAGAAATCTCATGAGATTAAGAGCAGCAGTAAGTTATAGATAAGTGGGAGTTATCACGACACTATGTATTGGATGGATTGACAGGCCTAATTTTTGTGATCTTGCATGCAGCCATTCCAGATAAAAGTCATTTTTTATCAACTTATCAGAAGACATGGCAGCTAAGTAAAATTCTTTTCAATCCAAAAAATAACAACACTTCATAGAACCTCTTTAGGAACATTCATGCCAACTTTAGTGACCTGGCATGCAGCAATTCTAGAAATTTTCAAATGTATAATTTAAATAATAAAGGACCCCGACAATGAGAGATGATGGTTGTCAAGTGATGTCAATAACTGACAATGGTCTTTGACGAAATAAGCTAAAAATCTAAATACATGTATTTTTTCCAAATCTTGTTAAAATGTCAATATATTCTTTTTTAACTCCAAACATATGATATAAAAAGCATACCTTTATTGTTCACTAAACGATGAAAGGGCTTTCCTGAAATGTATAATGTAAATAAATAAATATGCAATGACAAGGTAACAGAACGAGAGAACAACAAACCATTGCTAAGTTGAAAAGTGGACAATATAATTGACTGATATGCTCTTATACCAAAAGGACAACATACTGACATATTCAAAGGCCTTGATGTATTGACATTTTGATAGATCCACCTACTGAAGGACTAGTTAACTATTGTAACATGAGCAAAGACATTGAAAATATGTTAAATTTCACATCTTTGCTAGCCAAGGGTTTCGGATACGCTACTCTCCTCATAAGCCCTTGGCATAAAGTGTTAAAAAAAATTGGGATTTTTTTCTCAAGTTGTGATTGGAGTTGATCGACATCGCTCGACCAATCAGCAATTGTTTTTTGAAAATGATGATATTTACATTTGGGATATATCTTGTCTCTTCAATATCGGGAATGAAAAACTCAAGTAAATCATCAGATAACATGCCATTCTATGAATAGCTATATAGTGTCACCCAATATCTTAGCTACGTGCAAAATATGTGATTAAGAATCAATACTGAAGATGTAGATTAGCATTTTAATTTGTTTAAATAGCAAATTAACATAACTCAATACCTTCTTGTTAATTCTTCTTTAAAAGCATTATTTTTTTAAATACACTTTTTATTTCTGTCAATGACGCAATCTGCGTACCTGGTAAGAATCGCGATCACCGGTCTTTTGTCAGCACCGTATGCCAAGGGTTCATGAGGAGAGTAGCATATCTGAAACTCTTGGCTAGCGAAGATGTAAATTTCAATGCAAATGCAAACATTCATTTAATCATTGAAAGGTTATTTTTTTACTAATCTGCATTACCCACAAACAAACTGAACTAGTAAACTGACAAAGTCACCCAGGGCCCTGCAGTAAGTGCAGATTAATAATTTCAGCTTTTGACTTCACCTCTGACCCATGATCACAAAACTATGTGTCTTCTTTTAATCTTCCTCTATCTTTGCAGTGAATATAAGTCCAATGGTTGACAAGTACTTGTCTAATGAGTAAACATGTCAAATACTGTAAAATCACATATTTTTGGGAGGCAAATTTTTGAAGTTTGAGAAAAAATAATTAATATGTGGGGATTTGATTTCATGGCTGGAGAAGTGTTGAGTAATAATGCATATTAAATTTTACATTTCGTAGTGGTCATGAATTTGTGGGTCTCTCCATACCTTGAAAACAACAAAAATTAAATCCCCGCGAAAATTAGTGATTTCATAGTAAGCATTTTAAAAAACTGACATATAACTTGACACTGATTTAGTGACCCTGAAATTTATATGTTCTTCCTTATTTTCACCATACTCTATGCATGTAGTGAATATGAAGTCTGGTTGAAAAAAACATAAGTTAACATATCACAGAAGTTTTGACAGGCATATTAACAAATACACAATACAAGTTTTGACCTTGATTACTGATCTTAGTCTTCCTTTTACCATCTTCTACCTATTAAGTGAATACAAAGTCAGTTGCTCAAAAGGTACTCATTATCATGTCTCATAAGTGTTGACAGACACCTCAATAATCTAGATATTAGAACTTGACCTCTAACCTAGTGACTCCATATCTCTATAGGTGTCTTTAACAACTTTCTATCTATGTAGTGATCACAAAGTTAACAGAATACAATGTACTTGACTTATATTGTCACACAAAAATATTTTTGCAGGCATATCTAGGATCTTGACTTTAGATCTTGACCTTTGACCTAACAACCTTATAATCTATGTTTTATCCTTTACCCATTTTCTATCTGTAATGAACACGAAGTCAATTGGTTGAAAGCTACTCCAGTTATTGTTTCAAGTGAGTGCTGAGTGATGTGGAAATCTTGATTATTGGCCTTGTGACCCCAAAATATAATGATGACTGCCTTTCATGGTGGGAAGGAGACATAATCATATCAAACTACTACAGTAACTCTAATAAACAGACACATACCAGCATCAGCCAAGTCCTCAACATCCGAAAATGCAGCATCTGAGTCCTCCTTAAACATTAAAAATACACAATTACTATAGTTACTGCAGCTAAAACATAACCGAAATGAAAGATCCAATTTATATAATACAAGAATATAAGTAACATATTAATTTTACTGATTTCTTTTTCTATCATTATTTATTTAAGAAATAAGGTATCATTTTTAAACATCTATCGGGATATAAATACGGGTTGGTCACGAGATCAAATTCCATAAAGCCTGAAGGGCTTTATGGTAAATTTGATCTCGTACCAACCTGTATTTATAGCCTGATAGATGTTTTAAAATGATACCTTATTACTTATATTTACATTTGTGACTTATTCATATTTTATATTTGCTTGATTATAATCTTTAACGCGTGAAATGTTTTATTTTTCAAACCTAACGGCACGTGTTTGATCCACCGATTGCGCATTGACCCTTTATGACGTCACTGAGAAATTACGTCGAACGATTATGACGCGAGGAACCCGTGTTTATACGGATATAGATACGTGTTGCTTTTAATAGTGTTATATAAAAGAAAACATTTGCAAATGTAAATATTTAATAATAACTTCAACATAATTTTGGTATATAACGTCTTTCTACCGTAATATACACATGTATAAAAAAGCTTAATCTAACTGTTCCTAGAAAGACCACATCAACAAGGAACTCTAAACTGTTTACCTTGGTATAGATAAGTTCATTTCCACATGCTCTCACAAACTGACCAGTAATGGGACATAATATATAACTGTCAGATTCCTAAAAATTATGAATTAAAATTTAGATACACTACATATAAAGGTATATAGAATACTGTTTTAATTTTTTTTTCCAAGTATGACAGTATTATACACGTTTTGAAGAAGCCAACAATGGAAATCCTGTACAGACAATTACTATTTGACCATTCTTATTATGCAAATGGAAATTAGTATTTTATTGACATTCACAACAATTTAACAATTATCCCTAGTATATAGCAATTGGAATGGCAGAAGGATGTATTTCTTTTTACAACAAAAATATGAGTGTAACATGAGTAAAGGTGGAAGGTTAAGGTCATCTAACTTAAGTATGATCAAAGAAATTTTGCCAGAATGCCACTGTGTATAAGTTACTTACAAACATAACTGATGGTGTTTGAAAAAATGATGAAATTTATATACTCTGACAAAGTGATTCATAAACCATGAACATGCATATATACTTAAGTCATCATATGTATGCAAAACAGTGAACAGCAAACAGAATCATAAATGTATACATACTGACTGACAAACCATAAAGAAACACTCATAATTGTATTCACAATCATCTATATCATATATTTATACTTATACTAATCAAAAAAACATAATCAGACACATTTGCATTTAAAAAAAATCCAAATCCAGTAATTGACTTTCTATAAACATGATGATGACCTAGTGATCAACAATCCATAAACACATGCATAACTGAACTACCCTAACAGGACTTCAAAAATGTTAGAACAATCTACAACAGTGACCCACAATCCATGAACAGACACAAATATGTATATATGACAGTGACCCAAAACCATGAGCATTCACATATATATATGAATAATATGTATGCATATACAAAATGTCTAAACTCAGAAACACAAAAAAAAGTCATGAACTACAGGAAAAATGTTAGAACAAACAATCTACAACAGTGACCCACAATCCATGAACAGACACAAATATGTATATATGACAGTGACCCAAAACCATGAGCATTCACATATATATATATGAATAATATGTATGCATATACAAAATGTCTAAACTCAGAAACACAAAAAAAAAGTCATGAACTACAGGAAAAATGTAAGAAAAAACAATCTACAACAGTGACCCACAATCCATGAACAAACAATCTACAACAGTGACCCATAATCCATGAACAGACAAGCCGTGAAGTAACACCAACTAAAACAAAGCAATACAAACACTCATTTTTCATAGACACAGTGATTATATGGAACCAACTTGACAAAGACACAGTGTGCGGAAAATCTGTCGAGGCCTTCAAGACCGCCCTCGCCAAGATTTGTCAATAACATCGATAGCGCCTCTCTCCCGTCGTATAAAAGCCAGTATTGGTTACCACGACATACCATATACAGATATATACACAAATGTCTACAACCAAATACACAAAAAGTCATGAACAAACTAAAGGAAAAATATTAGAACACATAATCTATGACTGTGACCCACAATCCATGAACAGACACAAAAATGTATATATGACAGTGACCCAAAACCATGAGCATTCAAATATATATGTATGAATATATACACAAATGTCTAAACTCAAAGACACAAAAAGTCATGAACAAACTACAGGAAAAATATTAGAACACATAATCTATGACAGTGACCCACAATCCATGAACAGACACAAAAATGTATATATGACAGTGACCCAAAACCATGAGCATTCACATATATGTATGCATATACAAAATGTCTAAACTCAGAGACACAAAAGTCATGAACTACAGGAAAAATGTTAGAAAAAACAATCTACAACAGTGACCCACAATCCATGAACAGACACAAACATGTATATATGACAGTGAACCAAAAACCATGAGCATTCACATATATATGTATGCATATACACAAATGTTTAAACTAGGGATGTCAACGAGTACCCGGTTAACCGGGTACTCGATTGAACGTCCGAGTATCGAATACTAAAAATGGTACTTGGTTTGTTTTCTTATGTTTTCTTATTTCAAAGTACATATTTTTATCAAAAACTTATCAAAAAATAACTTAAATATGCATATGGTAATTAGCTTTTCGTCATCTACACCTGTAAAACACATGTTATCGCCTGTGGTTGTATATATACGGTAATTATATAATGACCAATCATCTGGTACACAGCATTTTTAACACTTATTGTGGTCCTTAATTTTTGGATGGCTTCAATGATTGTTTTCAGTAAACAATAATAGTATGGTCTATTATCTTCTTAAATTATTTAATATACACATGTACGGCAGCGAAGTCAGACATGAATAAAAATGCCGCTACCCACTTCAAAAGTGAAGAAATATTTAGAAATAACTAAAGATTTTAAAAATGTTGAAAGTCAGTTTGCATACAAAGTTTAGTGGGAAACAACCAACATATGAAATAATAGTAGACTAGCGATCCCAACAACGTCCTTTCCTTCCCTTTCGCTAGTCTAACATCACAAACCTGCGTAACAGATTGTCTTCTTTTTTTTTGCGTTGATGAAATAGGTCCTAAACAAGAACTGTAAACCATTTGTAATTTTTGATGTATGAATTGTGTCTTTTGTGTTTATCTGATAAATAAATTTGGTACCAAAAAATCATTTCCCTTTGACTCAGTTGTTTACATACATTTATAAACGTGATAAAAACAGCTTTTGGATTTAACAGAGCTTAACCAGGCTCAAGAAAATTAACACACCTGTATTTTCATTTTTACCGAGTACCCGGGTACTCGATCTGAAAAACATCTGAGTAACCGATTATCAAAATTTGACCGATTTGACATCCCTAGTCTAAACCCAACGTTACACACACAAATCATAAACTACAGATAAATACTGTAAAATGTTATTACAATAACAGTGATCCACAATCAGACATATGTACAGGTTTATATGAAAGTGACCCACAAACTATGAACAGCTATGGGTCAACCACTAAACCAATATATGATTGATTCCTATCTCTCTGATTGGCTGAGATCTAACAATGTAAAACAAAAAAATATGTTGTTTTAACCTGCATGTGACCTCCCAGGTGAATATAAGGATTTATTTTCTCTACATTAGTCTAAAAATAGATCCAGAAATAGTTTTGGAAATATTTTCCTTGCACTGGACTTCCACTCAAGTGAACATAACATTAAGGAAAATATTATTTGGGGTGGGGGTGGTTGCGCAGGGTGTGGGGGGGGTGCAGGGAACCTCACCCAAAACACTTTTTTCTAAACATAAATGTTCACTTTTAATTTAGACTGAAAGGTTGATCCCACAATAATGGACCTTATTCCCCCGGGACCCCCACCCTAATACAAAATTTGAAGTTAAAATAATTTTCTTTTAGTGGGGGTTAGTCAAAGATTTTTTTTCAGCTGTCTTTTTTCCCTCATAATGCTCCCTCCTTTTCAAAATCTATCCTGTATAAAAGAGCCTGACATTTCCTTTTTTCATAGCAACTTAAGTCAATTAAAAATATTCCAAATGAATACAACTAGTAATTAACCCTGCTTCTCTTATCGTGTTTTGTATGGACTTCAACAAATGTAAACAAGTAAGATGGCATGTACTGCTTAATGAGTTGTATCATTTAATCACTGAATCATATAATAAAACAATTATTGCTGTTTTTTCGGTCAATACGATGATTTATCCACCTTCAAAGTACAATATTCACCTGAAGGGAAAAAAACAGCAATAATTGTGTAATGTTTGTCTCCTGGAGAATGTAAATACACAATTCAAGCTTTGATAACTTCAATAGTATTTTTCACTTTATACTGCAGAGTATACAAAAGCTTAATTATGATCGGGATTGAGTTCCATAAATATTAATGCTTATAATAATATAATAATATATAATAATAATAATATAATACTGAAAAGGACAAGCATGAAAAATACGATCTGTATCTAGCAATTTGAAAATGATTTTCCTTCTTATTAAGCAGGCATCATGGAATTTCACAGAATGTTGCATATTGCATAACAAACTTTAACCAACTATGCATTGCAATGTTCATTATAGTGTACCAGCAACATTTATTGACAATTAGAAAGGGATTAAAAAACTTTTTTGAGACAGTCTTGTGACCTTTTGTTTGGGGAATTTTATGAAAAAAATGTATGAAATTGGGAAGTTATATTTTGGTAGAAGGCTAACTGCTCATGATAATCATACAAACAATATGCCTGCTAGATGTTCAGGAGTAAGGAAGAAACTTTTTGTAGATCACATAAATCTTTATGGTTTTGGACCCATCCCTCAGCCCCCATGGATGCAGGGATCATAAAATTAACAATTTTTGTTTTTCTTTATCAAAAGATGCCAAATACTCAAATTGGTTGAAAATGGTTCAGCCATTTCATAGAAAAAGATGTCATTGTCAGAGAGATCCTATAACATCTCAAGGATAAAGACTGATTAAAAAGTTGTGACAAAATATAAGTGGAACAACAAAGAAATAAGTAACACATTACCTTCACTGATGATAGTTCCTTCCAGACAATGCTGATGCTACTATCATTAGAATCTTCTACATAATATTCTGAAAAAAAAAATATGTAGAACAATCAGTTTTCAGATGGGATCCTCTCAAGGAGAGATCATGGATCTACACTATGTGGTACATGCAAAACTGAATTCTTTTCAATTGAAATCCTTAAGTCATGTGTTATTAAAAATTTCCATACTTCAAAATAAAAATAATACCAATATTAGTCTTTGGAATCTGTGGGTCATGTACATGTGCTGCAACAGGGTTTTCATCATCCTGTGGAATGTGTGGTATATGTTCATTTGTTGCAACAAGGTCTTCATCCTTCTGCGGAACATGTTCATGTGCTGTAACTGGATCCTCATCAGTTTCCACCTCCAGACGGTTCTCTGTAATATATGCAACAAGAATTTATTGGACTTAAGAGTTTAGTTTACAAGTTGTGTTTGTAAGAGTCTTCATACAATTCTAAGTATAGTAACAAATACCTGTGCTAGGCTGTGCAAGATATGATGCAACATGGTCCTTGTCATTCTGTGGAACATGTTCATGTGCTGTAACGGGATCTTCATCACTTTCCACCTCCAGACGGTTCTCTGTAATATATTCAAACAAGAATTTATTGGACTTAAGAGTTCAGTTTACAAGTTGTGTATTGTAAGAGTCTTTATACAATTCTAAGTATAGTAACAAATACCTGTGCTAGGCTGTGCAAGATATGCTGCAACAAGGTCCTTGTCATTCTGTGGAACATGTTCATGTGCTGTAACGGGATCCTCTTCAAGTGATCCATCAGTTTCCACCTCCAGACGGTTCTCTGTAATATATGCAAACAAGAATTTATTGGACTTAAGAGTTCAGTTTACAAGTTGTGTATTGTAAAAGTCTTCATACAATTCTAAGTATAGTAACAAATACCTGTGCTAGGCTGTGCAAGATATGATGCAACATGGTCCTTGTCATTCTGTGGAACATGTTCATGTGCTGTAACAGGATCTTCATCAGTTTCCACTTCCAGACGGTTCTCTGTAATATACTCAAACAAGAATTTATTGGACTTAAGAGTTCAGTTTACAAGTTGTGTATTGTAAGAGTCTTCATACAATTCTAAGTATAGTAACAAATACCTGTGCTAGGCTGTGCAAGATATGCTGCAACAAGGTCCTTGTCATTCTGTGGAACATGTTCATGTGCTGTAACTGGATCCTCTTCAAGTGATCCATCAGTTTCCACCTCCAGACGGTTCTCTGTAATATATTCAAACAAGAATTTATTGGACTTAAGAGTTTAGTTTACAAGTTGTGTATTGTAAGAGTCTTCATACAATTCTAAGTATAGTAACAAATACCTGTGCTAGGCTGTGCAAGATACGCTGCAACATGGTCCTTGTCATTCTGTGGAACATGTTCATGTGCTGTAACGGGATCTTCATCACTTTCCACCTCCAGACGGTTCTCTGTAATATATTCAAACAAGAATTTATTGGACTTAAGAGTTTAGTTTACAAGTTGTGTATTTTAAGAGTCCTCATACAATTCTAAGTATAGTAACAAATACCTGTGCTAGGCTGTGCAAGATATGCTGCAACAAGGTCCTTGTCATTCTGTGGAACATGTTCTTGTGCTGTAACTGGATCCTCTTCAAGTGATCCATCAGTTTCCACCTCCAGACGGTTCTCTGTAATATATTCAAACAAGAATTTATTGGACTTAAGAGTTTAGTTTACAAGTTGTGTATTGTAAGAGTCTTCATACAATTCTAAGTATAGTAACAAATACCTGTGCTAGGCTGTGCAAGATATGCTGCAACAAGGTCCTTGTCATTCTGTGGAACATGTTCTTGTGCTGTAACTGGATCCTCTTCAAGTGATCCATCAGTTTCCACCTCCAGACGGTTCTCTGTAATATATTCAAACAAGAATTTATTGGACTTAAGAGTTTAGTTTACAAGTTGTGTATTGTAAGAGTCTTCATACAATTCTAAGTATAGTAACAAATACCTGTGCTAGGCTGTGCAAGATATGATGCAACATGGTCCTTGTCATTCTGTGGAACATGTTCATGTGCTGTAACGGGATCTTCATCACTTTCCACCTCCAGACGGTTCTCTGTAATATATTCAAACAAGAATTTATTGGACTTAAGAGTTTAGTTTACAAGTTGTGTATTGTAAGAGTCTTCATACAATTCTAAGTATAGTAACAAATACCTGTGCTAGGCTGTGCAAGATATGATGCAACATGGTCCTTGTCATTCTGTGGAACATGTTCATGTGCTGTAACGGGATCTTCATCACTTTCCACCTCCAGACGGTTCTCTGTAATATATTCAAACAAGAATTTATTGGACTTAAGAGTTTAGTTTACAAGTTGTGCAAGTGTTTTCCTACAATTCTGAATATATTAACAAATACTTATGATAGGCTATGCAAGATATGATGCAAAAATTACAATTCTAAATTGCTCTCTGTACTGCATGCAGGAGAGAATTCATTGTGATTTTCGTTTGTATTGGTAAACCATTTGATTTTAAAAACATTCACTGACAGAGGTACTTACCTTTTTTACTTTTCAACTCAAATGGGTCATCATCATCTGCATCATTATCAAGCTCTGTAATAATTTTAAGCAAAATTAGTCAAAAGTTTGTATAAAACATACTTCTGGTAAAGTATCAGTGCTGCATCGTATGTTTGCTAAAGTATCAGTGCTGCATAGTATGTTCACTCTGAATTTTGGAAACATGGTGTGTTTATACTAGGGATGTCTAAATGTGTAAATTTTCTGGTCAATTATTCAGTAGCTTTCGTCAAAGAATATTGGATTATTGTAGGCGAACATTTTCCGTGTGGGATTAAATTACGCTATGAATGCAGTCACAAATTTTGACTGTTCATCAAAATCAATTACTTCTATCTTCTGAAATAACTTGTGTACACGTGTCAGCATAATATCAAAATGAAGATAAATAATGTTGCTTTTTTACTCGAGAAAAAATCTCTGATTGCACAAAGCCTTGGACAAGGGTTTCTGTTTGAACTGACTTTGAAATTGACCAGCTACCCCACGCAAATGCACTTCTGTGTTGATAAAAGTGTAGACTGTAGTTGTGATTTCAGACTGCATTTCCGATCCCCCCTCTTTTTAAATCGCAAATGAATCTGATCTGCATACCACTCAGGAAATTTATTCTTCATATATTTTTTTTTATTTCATTATATCCAGCAAAATCAAAGCTGGTGGAACGTACCACATATGTATGTTTTCCAAGTCTTTTGATCATTGTGCTCATGAAGCTGATGTTCTTTGGAAGCATCAAATATGCACAGGACAGGCATATTCAAGTGACACAATGGTAATTTATCTCTCATATTTTCAATATATTAGGGTACTGTATTTTTTTGTAATGTTTACTTATGAATACATGTAATTTTCTACTCGGGGATTAAACAGATTTTGTGATTCCATGGAATTATGACCCCATGGAAAAAAGTATGTTTACAGTATTCAAACTTTTTATTTACATACTACCACTGTTACAGTAATGTTCCCAGTTTAATGAATAAAATATATTGGCCAAATTAATTTACCGATGCATATACATGCGTGCAAAGTTCTACATTATACGAGGGCTGTTCGGAAATTATTGAGACATTCTGTATATTTTCCTTTCTAATGAACGTCTTTCGGTGAAAATTTGCACATACGTTTAACAAACATTAAGAATTCATAAAAGCAAGAAATATTTTACAAATATTAAATTTCTTTTCTTGAACTGTATATAAATGTGTCAATGGTAGGGGTACCCGGCGCAGTCACAAAATCAGATAATGAAAATATGTAACACCAATGTTCAACATGTGGACCCATAATAAGAACGAAAATAATTCAATTTATGTATATAATTTTTTAATTTTATTTTGACTTCATCTTGTGCAAGTTTGTTAGAATTCTGATCAGAAATATGGAGATCATTAAAAAAATTAAGCACGGTAAAGAAATCTGATAACGACGACAAAATGGATTTTGACGTCAAGGCAGAGCAGCAAGAGATCTAAAATTTTGTGTAGCACTATGTAAAACTCCTTTCCAGACTGACCAACCTGCTAAAACAATAATGAGAAAAAAACACGTCTAAGGGTTTGTTCCATGTATTTCATTGGTATATATTTTTTTCTAACCTATAATTCAACTACAGTAAAATCAAAAGCTCCGGACGACCACCAATTTTTACCATAACGAAATTAATAACGTTGACCTGCATTGCATAAATCAGCACTGCATGATGCTAAGTCATCCTGTGTAAATGATGCATGAAAAATTTACAATAGAAAAGCAACAGCACACATTTTCTAAAGAATCGTTTAAGAAAAGAGACAGTTTGATTTTTGTAGGGTATATAATTATGCTAACAAAGAAAGAAGAGTAAACGCTTCCCGAACGTTTCACACGCAAAATCATCTCCGGCTGACGTGAAGTTAAAATGACGTAGCGATGCTGCTCCAGGTCAATAGACATATGCATGTTTATTATTTCACCAGAACTTATCTAATTATCCTTTAAATTAGAAATTTTGTATAATTCTTTCATTCGTTCGATATAAAATGTTGACAAATTTTCCTGAAATTATCTCTGCCCTTTATGGAGTTAAAGTAATTGTCTCAATAATTTTCGAACAGCCCTCGTACATGTAATGAAAGCTATTTCAATGCATGTTGTCAATAATGAGTAGAAATTTAAAATGCTATTGATGTTTCTTTACATAAAATAAATTAAAATATCATACTTTCATGTAAATTAGTTGAATCTGATTTGTTGAGAAACATTTGTTAAAAAACCCTTTTACCCCCTGAATGATGAAACCACACCCTCCAATGATGAAACCACACCCTCCAGTGCAGCAACAGTCAAACATTGCTTCATGAGGAGTGATATTCAAAAAAAATATCGATGTGCAGAATTTATGCACACGTGGTACAGTTTTATATTTATTCAGTATAATATAAATAAATAAATATAGCATGTAGTTGAGGGCAACATAAAAAAATTTTCAGCACTCGAAAACCCTTGTAAAATTGCTAAACACTTGATTTTGGCAGCATTTTAAGCTTTTTAAAAAGACAAAATGGATCCGATTGAATTCAGAAGAAAGACACTGAGTAAGCTTCATGAAGAAAATGGTGGATCAAATGTATGCATATAATTCAGTCAAATTAACTGGTATATGTGCAACTTTTTGACTGTTCAAATTAAAAAAAGAAGTCAAACATCTATGGTATCAAAGAAAAATCAAATATTTGTTGACATCCCTAGTTTATGCACACAGGCATACTGTAAAATTAAAATTACCATATTTCTGCAGCTATTGCATCATTATTGAAAGAAGATAATTATCCAATAATCAATATACTTTTAATAGGTTGTGAAGCTTTGATAATGTTGCTAATATCTATATATATACAATTACCTATTTAAGATTAGGATATAAATATTGTATCACTCTAGTTATTTTGTGCATTCAACAAGTACAACAAAATGAACTTTCTCAGTATGAATCAAAGAGGAAATGAAATGAACATGAATACTAACCATAAACTTAAGAGTGTTGAATTAACAAATAAAGCAAGAAAAAGAAATCCAAAATATTCATTTTAAAACCAGTTTCTTCTCCCCACAATACGCATACATCACATAAACAGTAACTGCTTTTGATAGCTTAACATGCCCAAGATACAGAAAGTGAATATCAGGTGGACATCATTCAGTAGATATGAAGACATGGAGCAAATTCTTACATTTGATCTTGACCTGACATGGCTGGGCTCTGACAGACATCTGCATTTCTTCACTGTACATTTAAAACTTAACAATGAACAGGATTTTAGAGTAACAGAGTTCATATAAATCACACTTAAGACAACCTTCACCTTAATACTACATGACAAGGTCATAATTCTGCATTTCACTATAGTATGTACCGGTACTCAAAACATGGCACAGTCCATGCAAATTTGGTCCAGTAATAGTCTATACTTACTTTAGAAATGAATTCAATAGCTACCCACGTTATACTGTATAACCTGGGTTGGGACAGTTTAAGCTTTATGAACCGTGAAGTATAAAATTTGGTAGCTATTAAATTTATTCCTTATAATTTAATTTTCCATCTTTAAATCAAGAAAATAAGACAATTTCTCCTTCAAAAATGTCTTCGAATTGTGCATATTTCAAATGTAACGTCAAGCAAATTAATACATTTTTGACGTAAGTCATTGTGACGTAGGCAACACAGGTTATACAATATAAATTAAGTTTTTATCCAATCAAATGATGCGTTACAAACGAAATTAAATTATTTCGAAAAAGATCTGCCCCAAAAAACTTAACCCTAGTCACACAAAAAACTATTCTAATTATTATTAATTGTATATTAGTATTGCATATATTAATTTATATAACAGTATATCATGTATACATATATATATATATATTAAAGATTTGCATTTGTGGGGAGATGTATTGAACAAAATAACTCATTAACACAACAGTCACCTGGTTTTTGCTGCTTCTATTAAACAATAAATATGTTTTGATATAACCTGTAAGGTATGCAAATTCCAAGTCTGCGCATAAAATGCCAGTTCAAAGCTTGAGCCTTGTACAATTGTTGTCATGCTTGTGAAAAGTTAACCAGAACATGCTAACTGGTTCATTAATTAATATTGCTACTGAGCATAACTGCATCATGTTAAAATAACTTGATAAAAATTGAGATATCCAATGATTAGAGATATCCAGGGTAAAATACTTAAGGAATAATGGGTTGGGACTTCCAAATCACTTCTACATATCCAAAGTATTCAAGATATCAGTGTTTGAGAGACCAAATTTCAACTGTACATAATGTAAACTTCTATTCTTGCAGCTTTACAAAGTTTTTTTCGTATGTTGTTTAAAGTCCCCCTCGAGAATTTTTCACTCATTAGGAGACGCCACCATTTGCCGCTAGAGAGCTGTAAATTTTGTCCTATACTCAGCACTTACGGTCATTGAGCAGTGAGGAATATTTTTCGTGCCAACACCTACTGCGACACAGGACCTTGGTTTATATGGTCTTATCCGAAGGACCGGTCTCCACGTTCCACAGTGGGATTCAAACCCGAGACATAAGGATTAACTTCTTACTCCATGACTCTAGAGCAGACGCTCTAACCACTAACCACGCGGGCGACCCTTTACAAAGTTATGGCCAGGAAAAGACTTTTACATTTAAAAATGTTTTTTAATTAAAAAAAAGACTGTTTAAAGTGGCTGGTTCAGGTTAAGAAACACTCCGGTCATGAGCAACCTTTGCTTTAAGTTTGAACTTCTGATGTTTTTCCATTACAAAGTTATTGCCCAGACACAAATTTAACAACTTTTCTGCTAGTGACACTGATCTTGCCCAAATGAACTTTGTTCAACCTTTTCGTCCAGTATGAGCTTCCAATTTCTCTCCATTGCAATGTTATTAACCCTGTCACAATTGCAGGGAAGACAGATGGACAAGTGACTGTTATAACCCCCAACCTTGTTTGAAGGTGGTATAATGATTACTTAATTTTTGTATTTTCCCAATTTTAATATATTGTCAATTTTACCCATTTCCAAAGGTCCTAGTCCCATTACAAGAACATTGAAAAAAAAAAGCACTGCAAAGATGATACAGCATGTAAAATTGGAAAATCCCTTATTCTAAATATTTACCTGATGTCTCCAAGAAAGATTCTCAATTGAATCGCCATAATCATAGCGGATCTCCTCTCCTTTTTTAATATTCCTTCTAGCAAAAAGGCAAAGCCTTGGGTAATTATTCACTACTTTTAACTTCATAACAGCATTGTTTTCTGGATCATCTAAAGCTGCATCGTTGACATATCTGCCAAGCCTTTGAAAGCTTTCAGATGCATCAATGCTTGTAAAATGATAATGAAAACAATATGTAGAGAAAAAGTTAAAAGTTACATATAAACAAAAGAACTCATATCAGGGTTCTCCACATTTGAACATTTAACCATGGAGGAAGCTGCGTGAAGGCGAAATGTGACCAAATTAAAACAGGAATGCATGTTAGACTTTCTAACATGCAAGTAGTTTTGCTTTCTCTATTCTGTTTTTCTTAACATTCCTTTTTCTACATATTGCATTTTTGCAGAGTTTCCTCCATTGTTTACTTCTCCATGTGCCCCAGTGCTAAAAATAGCACCATGCCATGTTTCAAAAAAAAAAAAACGGGAGGTACATGTAACTCTAAAACTTAGACAGCAATTGGAACTTATGTACATCATCAGAAATATAATAAAGTTAATACTTAAAAACAGAACATGGGGAATTGATTAAATACAAATGAATAGGAAATTGTAAAAGGGTCATTTTTTCTGGGCACACAAACTTGAATCGGATCTTGTTGGTTATCATGTTGTGTTTCCTTTGTAAATCTGCTGTTATCTTATTATAGTGAACACGTTGGAATTCCCCGCAAGTACATGTGTACAGGAAAATTTACTTTCAAGATATTAATCGTTAGCTGATTGACTCTCTATTGTCATACTTCACAGCATAGTCGCCGATCAACGACCATGTTTGTTTAGCTCAGCTCCGTCCACTTTCTCTCGAGGTGCATGTAGTATAAACACAATTAACAACTCAAGTCATTGAAAGTAGGTGTCAATGCTGAAATGCAATAAATATCAAATCATGGCGGCCACCGATTTTGACCATGGCACAGCTCATTTAACCACTGCGCAAATAAATTTTACCATGATGGGCCGCCATGGTAAAACCCCCTGTGGAGAACCCTGTCATATGAAATATTAGGGCTGCAGGAACATACACATGTTATGCATTAATACATATCACAATATAGTGGTCACAATATATGAATCACTATGTATTTTTCAAAAAAAAAAAAGAACTGAAGTAGCAGCGGACATTCAAAAAGTAGAAGGGGGTTTGGGGTTCCTCTCCTAACTTGGGGTTGAGGAAGAATACTACAGTAACCGGGGGATAATGTCATTATAGGAGGGGAAATTCCCTGGCCCCTGGTCTTAAGGACAACACTGCAATAAGAACTAAAATAACCTGTGTCACTGTAAATTGACCTTTATTAATCTGATCAAGGTCAAATCTTTACTAAGGACAAAATAATGACCTACAAAATATTTCAATTTGGTGTGATTAAACAGAAAAATAAGTATATGTGAAGGTATTTATATTTCATCATTGATTATATATACACAGTAAAACTTGTGTATATTGGCCATCAATGGTTTCATAAGATTTTGCCAGATTAGAGAACAAGTTAAAGAATTGGAGAGTGTTACGCAACATAATTATGAAATATTTGGAAACTATATATTTCATCGGAAAGCAAAACATACTGAAATGCATTTCATCTGATTTAAGTGCACATGCATAAATCAATTGAATATGCTGTTTCAGGGTTTATACTGAAGTCAGAACTAGGGTTGGATACCGTTAAGGATGAAACGGTACGATACCATACCGATATTTTTGAAACGATACGGTATTTTTAACGGTACGGTACTATACCTTGATGAATGAGAATGAGGGTTCATTTCATAACAAATGTATGCTTTCAGTAAATCACCAACCTTTCAATGTTATGACCCAGAATGAGCTTATAAACTATATTTATATTTCAACCTTTTAATAAATGATCAACAAAACAAATAAATTGAATCTCAAACAAATTAATAATCACAAGTATACACAACTTCCATGGTTGCTAGGACCCATCTTGTTTGGTCGCACTAAACAAAGAAACGTTAGAAAATGGATAGAAATGCACATCACATTTTTGCGACATTTTGCCTTTTTAATTTACATTTTATATTATCAGTTTTATTAATTAAATTGAAACACGATTAATTTGAATGTATTTAATTTTTTTATAAACAAAAATATATGTACTGATTTACCTCGAATATCGGCAGTCAAAAGCAAGTGTCGGACAGTCATACTAAGCATCCATTTCGTTACTTAGCCTACCCTTTCAATGTGCGGAGAATTAAATTTTAGCGAGTTTTAAATCATTTTGAATGTATTAAAATGTTTCAAAGATTAAAAAAACAATATACCCCCGGGATCTTTCGATCCGGGGCCATAAAAATTGTACTGTTATTAGTACCGGTATTAAATGAAACGGTTTTTCACGTGTTTTTTTCAGTAACTATTCGGTATGGTATTGGTACCGAGTACCGGTCCAACCCTAGACAGAACAATGTTGGATTTGATTCAAAGTTAATGCACGTCTATCCCTTGATTACATACTTCTTTGACTTATACTGCAATTGACTTTCAGAGCACGAAAGAAACTAAGTTTATTCTTTTATACCTACCAACGCATTCCATTCCACTTAAAATAATAAACGTAGCAGTGACCCCTCTTCTTCCTTTTCTCTCTTTCTTCTGCTTCTTCTGGAGTAATTCTTTCTCCCACATACTCCAAAAGAAAACTACCCTTTGAAAACTGCTGGGTGGTAAAAACACCAAATCCTTCAAATAAACATTTTGAAGAAAATTAAATGGAAATACAGACAGAAATACTTACTAATACTTGTTCAATATTAATAAATACATGCTATGATATCACTAGTAATCCAGAGTATCACTCGCAAAGTTGATGAAAAATTGAAATGATGTTAATTTGCATATAGTACACAAAAAAGACAAAATGAAGACACCCTTTGTTCTGTAATTAGGAGAGTAATTCTATTTACTGGGTAATTATAGTTAGTTATACATATATAAATACTGGGTGTTTCAACAAACATGTCCCAACTTTTGCTGTCTATATTTTTGCACAACAATATAATATTTACAAAATTATAACTGTATGTTATAGCAAATTTCCGGCAATATAATTGTGATATAAATAATATGAAATAACATCATTATATTTTTTCCACTGAATTTTGATTACTTCTTCAAAAATCAGGTTGTCAGATTTTTTTCTCTAAAAATGGATCTATGGATGTTTTTGAACTGAACAATACAAACAGAAAATCTCCAAAATCACCAATACCAGTGCATAAGATTTTGAAAAAAGAAGTACATGTACTCATATGAAAACTATCTTTCTAAGAAACAGACTTCAAATGATGTCAAAATATATGCCATACAGGACTTCAAAGACAAATTGAGGACGCTAACTTTACAACATTGCAGCTTTTTGCAACACATAAAAATGACGTTAAATTGAAAACTGCTGCTGATGTTCAAACTTTAAAAATGCCTGTTTTAAAAAGTAATTGATTCAGCATTACTTCAAATTTCATATTGAAAAAATTGTTTTGTTATGTGGTTTTCATTTTTGCAAAAATTTTGTCACATTAAAGAGGCTGGGGGGTTGTGGCCATTTTTAGACTATATTGATCTCCTTTAGAAGAAGAGCTCCATATGAAGATATAGAAAATGATCAAATTTTAAAACTAAAATTTTTGAAATTTTTCTTTGCCAAATGATAGTTGACAGCTTAAGATATCATATCTAAAAAATTAAGTTAAATCTGGTGGTTAATTTATGGTTAATTTGTTGACCCCCCAGCATCCTTAATACTGTGTAACTTTATACTGAAACCGCAAAGCCAGGCCATGTTTGCTGAAACACCCTGTATATCATATTACATACTAGTGGAACAGTCAACTACAAAATACTTTACAAACTCATTGATAAATATTATTAAATTTTTTTTAGCATATACAGATGTAGAGCACCAAAATTCAGAGGTGTACAATAAAACAAATATTAATCTCTAGTCAAAGCTAGCACAGAGCACAAAATCTCTGGCAAAAAAATTTAAAGTGTTCAATTTTTCAAACTGGGCCACATGATTTTCCTCAAAATAAAAACATATACAACTAAAAAACTTTAATGATGTTTCGAAGGAAATTTAGGATCAAATGGAGTTTACAGACAAAGACTGAAAGAGTCCCTTTACTGTAAAACATTAGGTTGTGATTCTGTTTAATTATCAACTACCCATGTTGACAGGTCAATATTTGACAGGTTAACAATTGACCTTCAATCAGAAAAAAATTTTCACAGAGCCTTTGGTACAGGTGAGATAAAAAAAAGTTACTATTTTGATAAGAATAACCTACAGTTCTACAAATAGTTCAAAATGTATTTCCTACCAATTTTTCTGTCAATTAGTTTTTTTTGAAATCCATCTTGATCCAGCCCACTCTCACACCAAAATTTGAGATTCTCTGCTGGGGAAAGTCTTTGTTTCTAAACAAGTGGAAATGATACTATACAATTATGAATTTCAGTTTAGGTTGATATGTAGTTATAAGGATCCGTGTCAAGTGATATTGACTAAAGACATATAGTGACCAAGCTTGCAAGTTAATGCCAAATGTTAACATCTCACATTGAAAGTTTCGAACATTGTGAACAAAAAAGAAAACTTGACTGTCCAGAACTTAGTAATTCAAGCAATACTCTTGAATAATTTCTAGACTCCAAAAATATCGAATAATTTTATCATTTTATTAATATATTTTCCAAACAAATGTATTGTACTTGTAAATAATTTAAACAACATAAATTTCAAAGAGTTTCCTGCATTTTTCGTGCACTATCAATTCTGTCTAATCTGGCAAAATTGTATGGAATAGGCAGAATCTGGTTTGGACATATTATACTGTACTTACCTTCTTGGACTGCTGCTCTAAGATACTTTTCAGCAGCTTATGAAAGGAAATCAAATTATAAAACTTAATAATATTTTGCAATCTAGACTATAAAACAACTATTGTACATCATGTAGTTTTACTTTGGAGAATCTCAGACCCATTAGGGACTAAAATTAACCTGAAGCCAACATTTTTTTATTAAATGATTTATGGCAATTTTTTTTTAAAAATTGGGGGGGGGGAGAGAGAAATAAAAATAAAATTCATATTTTACATAGTCAACTAAAACTAAAATTGAAAAGAGTGTCTGAATTTCTTATTTTCAATTATTCAATAAAAATTGCCATAATTATATATAAATACGGTGTGGAGCTTAAAATATGATAACTGCAACACAAAAATTAAAGTAGACTATTACACCCTTATGAGAAATGGGGGAAATATAAGGAATTTCTTATCAAAATATTTAACATGACCATGACAAGATGACCAAAGAAAAAAAGATTATAAACATGATAAAGAGAAGCTTACTATGCTCAAATTAAGGGGTGGGACGATATACCGATACATATCAATATTTTCTAAGATACTGTTTATGATACATGCATTGATATGTTGGTAAGAAACGATACACGAAGGACTAAGGCTGAGATGATTCACCGAAATATTGATATTGTTCAATATTACTGCTCGGTTCACTATCTCGATTTTTGGTTCGTTACGTTTTTTTATAATCCAGTTTGGTTACTCCTTGATATAGATCAGGTTTGACCTTATTTTAATAGTTTGACACACGAGGGAGAAAATTGCGTCGGAGAAAGTTTCAGAGCAGGCTGCCACTGTTAGTATTAACACAAACAAAGTGCTCTTTTAATCTACAGAAGCACAAGTAGTGCTCTTTATTGTATCACCACCTTTTACTTGAAATCTGAATACATGTTTTCCATAACTTTATGATTTGTTTCTTCTTTAAAATGTATTGTATTGAAAAAAATTGAATTGTGACACAAGTATCGCGATACGTACCGTATTGTGGAGGGGGCGTATCGTTTCAGCCCTATGAATAACCTATCAAAAATTTGAAATTGAAAGTAGTTTTCTTTGGAAAATGGTGGCTTGTACGAAGCAAAGAGATGATATTCATATTGAAAACATGTTTTAGATCTAACTAGATATCATTGAGATGGTGGCCATCAAACATTGCCATGAAAATCACGAGTGCTCCATACCCTCTATCAAAAAACAGCACAAAAATCACGAATGTTGCATATCCTCTATGAAAATTGTTGCATATCCTCTATCAAAATATGGAAGGAAAATCACAAATGTTCTGTACCCTAAGTCATTTGGTAAAGTTTGAGGCTGACTGGACTTAAGAGAAAGAAATTATGCACCTAATGAAGATTTTAAACACAGAGGTTATTTTTGACCTTGACCCTTGACCTAGAAACACATCCATTGACCAGTGGCACTCTGTGAGTGAAGTATGAGGCACATAGGATGAAGGGGAGAGATGATATGTATGCTCCAGACAAGGACTTTTCATATAATTCTGCTATGACCTTAACCATAGACCTAGAAACATGGTTCAAGGTCACTGCACACCCTTTACCCAAAGACACTCTGTGGGTGAAGTATGAGCCAGATTGGGCCAAGGAGAGAGAAGATATGCTCCAGACAAGAGATCTGGCATAAACACATGATAAAATACCATTTTGTTTGCAGTGTCTGTTTATAATTTAACACACAGGAAAATAGTCAGTACAGTGCTGCGTATGATCTTTTTAAAATGTTAAAAGTTTGAAAATGTTTCTTGGATATACATGCAAGTCAGATACATCACATTTTATTCTTCACAAAATTCGAACGTCTATTTTCAATTTCCACTTTTTTAATCACATTCATCAACTGAAAGGTATCAAAATTGTAAGAGAACTACTGTATATGGTACCCATGGCGAAAGTGACAGTCTTGTCAACATACCCTCTAGTAAAATGGATTATGCTGACCATTTTTTAAAATTTCTTTTTAACTCCAACTTAACTTCTTCATCGGACATACTCTAATTGATTTTTCTGTTAGCTATGGTTGACTTTGAAAAACTATCGTGGTTAAGGGCAAAGTATTCTCAACTTGTAAAATTTGACATTTCTGCATCGATTACCTGCTGGCACATTTCATACACTTCTGAAACAGTTGATAACAAACGTTAGGGGTGGGACGATATACCGATACAAACCGATATTTTCTGCTAAGATACGGTTTACGATACAAGCATTAACATATCGGTTCGAAACGATACACGAACAACCTATCCAAAAATTGAAAATGAAAGTACTTGTCCTTGGAAAATGGCGGCTTGTATGACGCGAAGAGATGATATTGATATTGACAACACGCTTTAGAACTTATAAGTCGGAGATAAGGGGTAAAACAATTTCACTTTTAAGTATCTTCGGAAGATGGGACAAGAAAAGTTCCGTATGTAAAGTCGGTAAAGCGTGTGATATACAGAAAATATCGTTTCCACAACAGTTGATATTATTAACCTGATTAATAAATTGTTATAGTCCATCTGGCACTAACAGCGCATAACAAAGCATGGATTTTCTAATTTCAAGAATTTGAAATTTTGAAACAAATTGTGGATTAATTTTTTTATAAACTCAACTCGGTTGCAGACTTTCAGCAATTATTAATAATGTACATGTGATGTTTTTTAATGAATTTTTAGTCAATGTTCTTAAATAATGAACTACACAACTATTTATAAACAACTTGTTTATAGACATTTGGCGATACTACAAGTAATATTGTTTTTGTAAATATTTAGTCAATGAAATTGATGAAGTTCAAGTATTAATTTCAAATATCACATATAATTTGATATAGAATGATTTGTTGATTTATCATGTTTATTGTCAAGACAAAAAATGAAAACAAATACTAAGTTTTTAAATAATTTTATAATTTATCATAATTTCGAGATACGTATCATATCGTGCTGTATGTAGCGAGGTACGTATCGTATCGCAAGATCTGTGTATCGTCCCACCCCTAACAAATGTACATTGATTGGATGAAAATAATAGCTTTCAATTAAGCAGCCAATCAGAATTGCTGACTTATGTGCACATTATTTTATTTTCTTAGTGCACTTGTATTGACGATTGGCGGGAAATTTAAAAATCAACAACAGTGGCCTTTATTTTTTATGTGGTTTTAGCTTAAGTGTGTAGTCTGCACTCCCATAAATCATTTTATTAAAAAATGTTGGCCTTATACAGGGATTTTCCACTGCCCCGTGTAAGGCTGAATATGGGCCTCATTCCCAATTGCAAAACCCCTCCCTTTTTCTAAAATGAACTACATAGTTCAATGTTTGAATGCATAAAAACTCCACGAATTTAACTTGATCAAAATTCATGAAAAACAAACAGGCGGTGCCAGGCAAATCGTCAGTGCACATTACATAAAACTGGAAGTAATAGTATTTTTTCTCGATATACGTCACAAGTTACGGGGTGTGGAGGACCCTTAAACGCGAAAGATTTTTTGACATGACATAATAATTTCTCTCAGGTGTTATTGTAGTGGGTAATACATTCTTTATGCACTTCAATTGCATTTAGCTGTTTACCTAAGGCTTTTTCAATGCATTGACTGCAATCGTGTTTGAGGGTTCATTTTGGGATTCTTATGAGTGCAGAGTCAATCCAATAGCATGAACTAAGACAATAAATATATGTAGAGACAATGTGAACAAGTCTAAGGGAATTTTTTTTTTACCACACAGGACATTTGGTCCTGTGTAATCAATGAACACACATGCCAAACCTCATTTTGTCAGACCGAGAAACCTAATGTAAAACAGTGAGAAACGTGAAAATGCAGAACCAAAGAAATCACATAATACTGTAGATGGTTTTTATCACTTTCATTAACGTATTTGGATTTGTGCAATATTTATTTCTCATAACAAACATTTAAATGACTCCGCGTCAAAATAGTAAAAGCTCAAAACCGGACACTGAGACATCGGACATTCTTGTCTGGTGTAAAAAATGACACATCAGACCAAAGGCACTGCACACCAGTTAGGCCTTACAGTCCGATGTCTTTCACATGGACTGGTGAATCAACATTTTAGGTTGAAATAAAATAAAGTTTTCTTTTTAACCCAGGAAGACCAGCGGGAGTACAATGTAAACAAATCACACTGGCATACTTTTCTCTTTTATTTAATACGTAAAGTGGGGATTTTTTGTATGAAATGATTTTGCTTTTTTCCCCCAATTTTTTGCTATGGTGTACATGATAAATAGGTGTAATAAATATAATTTGTGAAGAAAATACCAACAAGCCCTGAGGTTGAATATTGGGGAGGAGGTGGAAGTTCTGTCCACAAGTACCTAAATGTATGACACAGCGATTTTTTTTCCTTATATATATATAACTGGTACCGATAAACGGTATCATTCCCAATGCCAAAAAACGTTAATTTTTCCCAATTTTGAGACTAAAAATTCCCAATTCCAAGCAACAGACTATGATGACATTGTATGTAGTATTTCCTTTTA